ACACCCCACACCCACACCTACACCCTTAAGTTTTTAGCTCAAGAATGCGTAGCAGTGTGTCGTCTTTCCTAAGACATAATATGGTCAAGATATTGGCAAAACTTCAACATATTATAGCCAAAATGTAGCCCAGACGACGAGCTTTCAGGAGATGTATAATATGTATATATAATTAATATCTACGCGTTTAATTTGAAGGAATTTTATAAAAGATAATTTTCGATAAAATCCTAACTTTTGATGATTTTGCTAAAAATTATAGAAATATCATGGTCGATATGTCCCTATTTATTAATGAAATTTAAAAAACTGATTATGCAGATTTTCATAGCTCACTATGGTCTGCAAATTCTGAAAGTTTCATTGAATTTGGAAATCCTCGATGTAAACGTGATAGAGATCCCATGGAATACCCCAGATATGTTTCTTGTTTTTATTCGCAGTCCGCTGTCACTTTCATATCCGCGCATCCCTTCCTCACGCTCAAAAGCAAATTCTAATAATATAAGTCTGTATTGTTATTGAATATGGTATTATTATATATTTTGATAGGTATTGAAAGGTAAGAGGTCTAGTCAGAGAGTAAATCTGATAATTCGAATGGTTTCATAATTAAATGTCGTGTCATAAAGATTAAATGTTTTCCAGATGTAGAATCACATTCAATTTTATCCACGCTGTATATAGAATTAGGAAACAAAAGTATTTCCTGTTCTTCTGGATACTGTGAAAGAGACGATACATCGCTACCAAACTGTAAAAATCCACCGATAGTTATTATGAAAAGTGTGTTTCCAAATCTTTCTGCTACTCGGCGGTCTTTTGATGTAGAAGTGAAAGGTATCCACTGAATTCGTGTACCAACAGCTTGCTTATAATCTTCAATCATCTGGTCGCCGAGTGAAACACCGCGATAAACGACTCTTTTCTGACTATCTCTGTTATTTCCAAGATACATTTCCAATAACCAAAGAAATGGTCCCAGTGTGTTGACTTTACTCATATCTTTATTACGCATTGATGCGTTCAGTATTTTATAAAGAAACGATTCTGCTGTGTAGAGACGTACAGCACATGCCCAAATTTCTTCTTCATTTGTACAAGCTCGCAATTGGTCGGCCATTTTCTGAGCGTCAAATTCTTGAGCTAAAAGCATCCCCTCTTTCAAAATTCCTGCAAAGAAAAGACAAAAAAGGCGAACGTTGCATAGTGTATAATATAGTAGTCATCTTACCCTGAGCAGCAACATCTGCGACTGTTCTCCAGTCTATAAAAATTTTATTTACTAGTTTTTTATTTCTCTCACGCCATCGCATTGCAAGATCATCGTGGTAATTCTCATCCATTTCAAATGCTTGGATTGCTCGTTCCGGATAGCAGAATCTTTCTTCTCTCACATAACCACTAACATCGATTTCTTCTCTTTTCACTGGTTTCCGTAAGTTTCTGTTGTTTTTCTGGAATTGCACGTTGTTCTTCAAATCAATCACATAGTCATTGAGTAATACTTCGTCATCTTGACGTTGATAAGCTTCTTCAATGAAGGCATTTTCAAAATCTGAATATCTTTTCCATTCTTTTGGTTCATCTTCATCCCATGGATTGGGATTTGCTGCATAAAACCATGCAATTCTTTTCCTGTTGCCATTCGAGGATACGAGCGGTGACAATGTATTTACACTTTCTGTGCAACCCATCTATCTAGCTGCTATATTCTTTGATAGACAAGAGAGAGATAGAGTACATAGTGCAGAACCAAAAACAAAAGTGAGCGAGTGAGCACAGACCTAGCATTTCCATCCTCATCAATTTTAGGTGTACAAACTCTGTCGATGAATGTGTTTTATAAGAACGTTTAATAAGAAGTGCTAATGAGAGGGCATCCATCAAAGCTAGGTGGGTATGGATGTGTGTGAGTGCAGATGTCAATATTCTCAAAAACACGATTCAGACTCACACAAATACACGCAGCGACACCCACACCAACATCCTTTTTTAAAACTAAAACGATCGGAAACGAAAAGAGTCAACATTCGGAGCCAGAAGAGATCTTCTCGACATTTGGCGGATGTTAGAAGAGGTGATATTAGAATAACAATGCTGAATGAAGAAAGAATCGAAGTGAAAACAGCATTGACACGGGCGAGCGCTCTATGATGTGAGAAGGTGATATAAACGAATTACCATACTGTAAAACTCTTTCACGAAAATAAGTTTGCAAAGCCACTCTTACCAATGCTCGTCTTTTGATTACAAGTCGCAAAAACAAGCGTAGGGTGTGGGTGCCATGAGCAAAACACTCATACCCACACCCTCAAGATATTGTTATATTTTCTTTTCACAACTAATTATACACGAGGAAACAGAATGCCATCATTTTGGATGGTCGTAGAAGTTTATAAATGAAATTATGATATATTTTGGAGAAAACATTATTTCTCAGGTATATCATAAGTTTTAAGAGCGGGTCCATGAGCGGATCGAGGACACAAGGCACTTGATAAAAGTTTTTTTTTAATTTTTTTTGCTCATTCAATGCATCAATGTCTAAAACCACCATCCCCA